GGGGGTAGCACAGAAAAAGTAGAGGGCAGTCGAACTTATATTTCTAGGCGGACAACGAGAAACAGGCAGTACAACAAGTAAGATATCATTCATTCAAAACAATGTCTTAGTGGAATTATATTTTTTTCAGAAGTATCGATATGAAGAAGGGAAACATTTCAATGGCAACAACAGAAAATCTGTAGTCTAGGAAATAAGCTTTTTAGAGGAAAACGAAACACACTGCCATGTGTTGTTCACATTGCACTTGAACACAGCTAATTGAAAGAACTGGGAGACAAACAAAAACACATTATTAATATTAGCATGTATAAAATCTCATTTCGAACAGGTCCATTGCATAAGAGCGATGAAAAGTATTTTTTAAAACCGTGTACCCACGTCATGAAACAGACGACTGACATTAAATTGAAGCCACGGAACAAAATTTTATGCAAGAGAAAAATGGAAATAGACAATGACTGATGGAGTAAAAAATATAGGTACAGCTGTTGCTCATTATAATGTCAACCGTGGAGGTCCGTGAACATGCCAACAAGAAAAAGCTCTGTGACTAGCTCAACAAGTAAGCTGTGAAAGTAAGTGTTTGGCCTGTGCTCGGGTGTGGTTTGCTCCTTCTTTCCTTAATGTGTATTGTCCTTGATTCTCCTCTGATCGTTTTGTTGTTATTGTTTTTGTTTGTTTGTTTGTTTGTTTGGAGGGGGGGTGGTGGTGATATGTTAGTCTCTCGTTACACCTCTAATCTTCGGCGGCACATATCTCATCTAATTGTATTGCAAGTACCTTACTGCTCTTGCCAAAACAAAACTTAAACTATGGAATGAAGGTACTTGTTAATCACTTCAATGGACGAACTCAATCAAGAGCATTTATATATCCTTCTACGAGCCTCACAAAAGACACATTGTACAAACGAGACATAGAAAGCACGAGACAACTCGTTGTTCGGGCAATAATTTGCAATGTTCAATAAATTGTATCAGCCTGTTTTTCTGTTACTTGATAACCTTGCCTGAAACTGAGAACCTCATTTTCATTGAACAAAGTGACTCAACGAGAATGAGTCTGGTCGAAAGGCACTTCCAGTGGTTCTAATGCATCTTGGGAATGTCTATGTCCAAGAAGAAAAAAAAATCATGCATTTAATTTCCTTTGAGACCGTTCCGTTCCGCTAGGAAAAGATGCCATTTAGTTTCTATGGTAGCTATATGTTTACAGTTCTTTGTTTATTTGTTTGTTAGTTAGTTAGTTTGTCTGTTTCTTTGTTTGTTAGTTGGTTGTTGTTTGTTGTTTGTTTCTGTGGGGGGGGGGGGGTTCAAAGTTGGAAATAGACTTAACTTATCCTAGATGGCACACAGAATCGTTTCGTACCTCAGTGTCTTCTGTAGTCTGTTCGTTGGAGCTGGTCCCACACGCAGATCGTCTTAAGGTTTGGTTGTTCATAGAATTGACTAAAACATTGACTTCTGCACTGGTAACGTAACCAACTCGCGTCATATTTGATAGGTCTTGATGTCCGTTGTCTGCAAGATCTTGTAGATGTAGGTTTTGTGCATTGACAGCTGTGTGATTGACCATGCACACGATGGCCATACTCATGTTGTACCGGAGGAAGATGACGATAGTGATGCCCCAAAAACACATAAAGGTCACCAGCATCCGAGATGACCACAGGATAGGGACGTCTGTCAAAATGTGGATGTAAGCGTAAGCGGTTATTAGTAGAGCACTGTGCCTTATGAGTTTGATAGTGTGTGTGTGTGTGTTTGTGTGTGTGTGTGTGTGTGTGTGTGTGTGTGTGTGCATGTGTGTGTGCACTCAAGTGTGTCTGTGGTGTGTGTGTGTGTGTG